GATGTATGATGCTGAAAATTCAGCTTCACCATAACAGGAATAAATTACATTTTACAATATGAAGAGTTCAGATGCAAAAGCCTCTAAATGCCATTTGAAATTTTCTTCTTTAATGATGATTTTTATCAAACTTGTATATTTAAGTTCAGTAATTTCACTTAAATAACAATTAATAGGTAATTATCATTGCCATTTAAGTGAAATTAATTAAATAAAATATACAAGTTTGATAAAAATCATCATTAAAGAAGAAAATTTCAAATGGCATTTAGAGGCTTTTGCATCTGAACTCTTCATATATTAAAATAGAAAATAGTTATATTGAATTACAATAATTTGTCACAATATTACTGTTTTTACTGTATTTTTGATCAAACAAATGCAGCTTTGGTAAGCATGAGAGAAAATCATACCGACCCCCAAAATTTAAATGGTCAGCTCCTTTTAGCAGATTTCACCATGTTTGCAAAAATTATGCAGATATTCTTCACCAGCACAGAAACTGCGCAATAAGTTTGGAAATGAAATCAATGCCCATTTCTCACATTAACTGATTTTGACAGAATATGCTTACAGAGTCAGAAGGCTCAAGTCTTGATTTGTTTGACTGCGGTTTCAAAATGGGCCAATCTGTTTCTTATGCTAGTATATCTCAACTGTACAACATAGGGATTTCTAGCACTAGGTGTCTGTCTCATTTGTGTATTTTCCTTGGCAGAGGGCACCTTGATTCGTGATTGTGTTTCTCATGTGCATTGTCCCATGGTGCTTTTTGAGCTTTTCGAACCCAAACTCAGCCTCAGACCCCTGCTGAATCACAACATGCACAGCATTTTATGTCAGAATTCCTCTTATTTCAGTTGGTCTTCCAGTAAGTGAGTGGATACAGACATAGAAAAGATTAACTAGTATAGATTACAGTTATAGTCTACAGTTTTCAACCTTCAATGCACAAATGTGATTTGGTGATGATAAATCTGGACCCACCCCGGCCCTCAGTCGCTCCGCTCCTCCCTACTCAAATGAACTCTTTATGGTGTGAGGACGCACTTTCCGGGAGAGGAAGCTACTGTACTGTTCCAGTTCTACTCTGTGTTTTGGTTCTGTGTTTGATTGGTCATTTATATGTTAACCTGTTGTCTCATTAGTTATATCATTAGTTCCCTTTGTTTGGTTCATGTATTTACACCCCGAGTTCTCCTTCATTCTCTGTCTATTCTCGTCAGTGTTACATTGTTAGTTTGGTTCTATCTCTCAGATCTCCTGAGCTTTTGATAATAAATATTATTATACCGATTCTCCTTCATCTTTGTGTGATTTATACAACCAACCCGTGACCCAAAGCAGAAATGAATGTTAAGATGTTATTATAGGCAAAATCCTGGAAAACCTTGAAAGGAGTGTTTTTGAAGTCCACTGTGGCAAAAAAGTCAGACAAACTGAGCAACTGGACAAGAAGAGCAATTGTCAGATCAAGAGGTCAGTTGCAACACTAACAGAGTTTCAACACTCTGGCTAAAACTGGAGACACTATCCAGACATTTAACACCGCTCTTTGGGAGGGTGACTAGACTAAAACCTTTCAGAAGAAAATATTGTAGTCTGACAACACTAAATCTGACCCGAAAGCCAAATGTTATGTCTGGCATTAACCAAACATAGGCTGACACCAAAGTACCACAATTGCTATCAAGTGTGGCAGAAACATGTTCTGGGCTTTCAGCGGGAGGAAGTGGAAAACGTGCTGACATTAAAACGAACATGAATGGTGTCATAAACAGGCAAATATTTCTTAAAAAAAGATTAATTTCCACCAGGACAGTAATCCAAAACACATAGGGAAGCCCAGCCTTGAAAGTTAAGGCTAATGGCAATAAAAAAAATGAATCTAGGCTGTGTTTAATTCTGATATAATCTTATATAAAAATATATATTTTTTAATTGCTATATAAATTACAGACGGACAGACAGACCACTGTGTGGACAGACCATCTTTGGAATTCTTTGGAGAAGATACAACCCAGAATGTGTCAAAGAAACAGACTGTTACCATCAGTATACAGCACAAAAAGCTTTTGATCCTGAGGTATTAATAACAGAATAATACAGCCATGTAAGTTTTATCAAGAGACGCACTAAAAGAACCAGAGAGAGAGAGAGAGAGAGAGAGAGAGAGAGAGAGAGAGAGAGAGAGAGAGAGAGAGAGAGAGAGAGAGAGAGAGAGAGAGAGAGAGAGAGAGAGAGAGAGAGAGAGAGAGAGAGAGAGAGAGAGAGAGAGAGAGAGAGAGAGAGAGAGAGAGAGAGAGAGAGATAAGAGTGCTGTTTAAGACACATGGGAAGTTCTGCTGATGTGAGAAGAGCTTTGTTTGGTCTTTCAGTGTCACAGGCACAGATAATTTAATACACTACTGGAATAAAATAATGCAACTCCCCAGGCCATATTTCTTGTCAAAGTCAAGAACCTGATGCTAATAAAGCGCCAGTCATCCAAAAGATCCAGGAGAGTGAAAGATTGATGTTTGAGAAAATACAGCACTCATTTCAAAGAAACTTGTGAGTGCAATGGCTCACTCTCCAGTGCTGCAGTTTAAGTTTCTCTAAATTTCAAATAAAAGTAAATGTACCAAAGTCCATCAACTGTAGGACTAAATGTAACTAATTAGAAAAAGGTGAATTTAGAAAAGAATCCGAAAAAAAAAATCGAAAAATACAAAGTGAAACGTGAAATTATAATGACTTTGTCTAAGCAAAATAAAACAAATATGTAATTTTACACTGGAGCCTGAACTGGTGGCAATAAATAAGTACTGAATCACACCAGTTCAAAATTCTGACAATATTACATAAATTAGAGTTCATGTCTGATGGAAAGGGATGGTAGTTTTCTGCACACTCTTGCAGGGTTGCGTGTCAGCAGTAGAGGGCGTGACTAACGTGCCAATGAAGGACCCCTATATGGGCCCCAATGTCCACTCAAACAGTCCATTAAACTAAATATAACATTGCTGTAGGCCCTTCTCTGTAAAATTCTGTTTTGATCATACTTCAAATGTATGTAGGCTGTGTAGCTATCAATAAAATAAAATGTCAAGACAGATATTCACAGACAATTATAAACTGTCAATATAATCAATATTTAACATGGTGACTCTGGATTTTAGATATGCTCATTACAAAACAATAACAATAAAAAGAATAAACAAACAAATAAATAAATTGGTTCGCTGTGTAGACAAACAATTTCAAATATTTACCACAAGATGGCGCATGGGAAGTTGTTCTCCAAGAAATGCACATAGGTGTTCATGCTTTATCCTGACGAAAAACCTTTTCTCATCTCATCTCTTTTCTTTCTGTTGACGTGACACTGTCCCTTCATGGAAAAGATATTAAACCATATGAGATAATAAGCATATTTAGAATTTCATTTTGAAAGAAATATGGAATTATATCCTTAATATTGTCATAATATCAAGTGCTGACTAAATTAATTGCTAAAGTCAAATAATAAAATATATCATAGTGGTCTTAAAGATGGATGCTTTTTGAAAAATAAATATGCTATAAAATATATCTTGATTTAAATATGCATAAAATGATCAAATAGGCTCTAAAATAAGAATATAACAAGGCATAGCATTTAATAATATAATAATACAATTTCCCCACAGTTTCCTTAAATAACAATTATTTTCTCTCTATAGGCTACAAATGATCAACAGCTTTTGTTTTGAATTTAACTAGAAGGCACTTTAGGGTCAAAAATTAAAGCTGCAGTAATAGCTTGGGTTACAAATTATCCACAATACATATTTTAGAAAGTGGTACTGGTGGATTTCAGCGGGAGATTGGAGCATTTATTTGCGTCATTACGTCATATCTGTACACACAAAGACGATGTTGGAGGTGGAGATTTATAGGCTTTTCTCACAGCACTTGATATAATTTAACTTACCAATTTGATGGCGGATCCAGAAAGGCTCAAACGACAATCACCAGTGACAACAGATTCACCTGCTGTAAAATGCAAAAGACTTTGGAGTAAAAAAAGAAAATACAACTGGACCCATGCGGAAACAAGGATGCATATCAGGAGGACATTACATGTAGTCACGCAATGCTGACATTGTTAACATTAACAATTTGAGAACAAAGTATAATTTGAATGGTTTTGCGTGCTGTGATAACTTATAAGCAATTGTTAGATTTAATCAGAGCGATTTACTGCAAATGCCAGAACCAGAACAAAAGTGGATGTTTCTTACTTGTTCAGATGACATTTTCCGGTGAAATTATTATGTTGGTCATACTTCCAAAAATAATAATCCATGAATCTAAAGGCCAGTATCCACACCGGCATGGCGACTGACAGCCTCACACTCTCCTCAAACATTGTGTTCATCCGCACTGTGCCGTGTCGAATTACAACTCGCGAATGACTGCAATTGCAGATTTTGAACAGAGATGGCGACAAAGAGGGAAAACTGTGGACTGCAGCTATAATTATTAGCATTAAACCTACAAAATAGAAATCAAATACAAAAATCTTATTAACACTAGTAAATAATTTACATATAGAAAAACATCCCACATAATATAATAAAAAATCTATATAATAGCCTACCTTTCACTTTTATTTTTAACCTAAAATCTATATGTAGAAAAAAATGTCATATAAATTTTCATGTCTAATTTTAGACTCTTAAGTTGTGGTGTAAAATTGTTAATGAATGAATATGTTAAAGATATATTCTTTATATATATATATATACACTGAATAAGAAGACAACATGAGATGTGTATTAAATGCATCTATCACAACAACTGATTTGTTAACCCCAATTGATACAGACAGATTAAATCCACATAACCTGATTACACGATGAGTGTACTGGAAGTGTGTCAGTGTACGCAGAGATTAACATAAGCATTGTCTAAACCATATTCTGCTGAGCAGTCAAATATGATAATCTGTAATCTGTCCTATAAAGGCACCTAAACGGAGTGTGCTCACTTTCCCTGACCAAACAAACCAACAGCGAGGGGTGGTTAAACAAACCAGCGATCATGAATGGCACGGAGGGACCGGACTTTTACATCCCCATGTCTAATGAGACCGGCGTGGTGCGCAGCCCATACGAGTACCCACAATACTACCTGGCATCGAAAGGGGCGTTTTACTGTGTCGCCGCGTACATGTTCTTCCTCATCGTTACCTGCACCACCATCAACGGCCTCACGCTGTACGCGACCGTTGGAAACACGAAACTTCGAACACCCCTGAACTACATCCTTCTGAACTTAGCCGTGGCTGACCTCTTTATGGTGTTTGGTGGATTCACGACCACCTTCTACACCTCCTTGCATGGATATTTCGTCCTGGGACGTGCCGGCTGCAACATAGAGGGCCTGTTCGCTACCCTCGGTGGTGAGATCGCGCTCTGGTCTCTGGTTGTCTTGGCTGTTGAGAGATGGGTGGTCGTCTGCAAGCCCTTCACCAAATTTCGCTTCAGCCAATTCCACGCCACCCTCGGTGTTGCCTTCTCTTGGACAATGGCCTTTACGTGTGCCATACCGCCTCTAGTCGGATGGTCCCGCTACATTCCTGAGGGCTTGCAGTGTTCATGCGGAGTGGATTATTACACATTGAATCCTGAGACTGAGAACGAGTCTTTTGTCATCTACATGTTCGTCGTGCACTTCTCGATCCCGCTCATGGTCATTTCTTTCTGCTACGGACGTCTGCTCTGCACTGTCAAGGTAGCAGCCGCCCAGCAGCAGGAATCTGAGACTACCCAGAGGGCAGAGAGAGAAGTTACCCGAATGGTAATCCTCATGGTCATTGCTTTCCTAATATGTTGGGTCCCCTACGCCAGCGTCGCCTGGTATATCTTCACCCACCAGGGGAGTCAGTTCAGCCCCATCTTCATGACCATCCCGGCATTCTTCGCCAAGAGCTCAGCGCTCTACAACCCGCTCATTTACATCTTCATGAATAAACAGTTCCGTCACTCCGTGATGGTAATAGTGTTCTGTGGAGACGATCCATTCCACGACGAGGAGGAAGCAAGTTCCACCTCAAAGTCTAAGACAGAGACCTCATCCGTCTCCTCCAGCTCTGCATCTTCTGCCTGAGGGTTGTGCTCAAGGTTATTTGTGGAATACATAGTCAACTGCCTGCTACCTGGGACAGCAACTTTCCTGTAAGGACACATGGAAAATTCTGAAACGGCAGATGGAGTTGTATACTAATATCTCTGTACACAGGCTTTTCAATACAGCTCAGACTGTGCATGGGATACAACGATTTTATATAAAAAATTATAATATGTGCAATTATTATTATTACAGCAGGATTATAAAGTAGCAGGACAAGAGCACTTTATATTTATATGTGAATACACCTAATATGTTTGCCTCTTCGCATAATGCTGGGCCAGGCACAACGCAAGTGTTTCAGCCCGACGCAGTTATCATTTTTTTTTTATGTCCTGCACCACGTTGTTTAAATAGCAAATGCATTTGCGCCGATTTGTGCGCCCATGCACTGGTCTGAAAACGAGGTTGCAAAACGTTGCTATTTCAAAGTCCTTTTAGGCGAGTCATGCCACTCGGCCGCCATCTTGGCAACGCTTCCGGGCAGCTATTTCAGACTAACAAGACCAGGCTCCTATCTAAATGAATGGGCAGAGAGTCAGAACTGCACTTTCACTGGTCACCGGGACATAAAAAACGGCATGTATAGAAACAGCAGTAAATTATGATAAAAATCGCTGAAAAAGTTTGACGACTTTGCCCCAAAATAAGTTTAAACTGCTTTTACTACGCATTCGCAAGGGTTCTCCACTGTCACAAACCTCAACTGTGCGTGTGCATCAGTGGAACCAGATGATAGGCTTAAAAGTTTCCCAGGCTTGACTGTTAAAAGCAGACGATTGGCTCTCCGGCAGGAGGAGCGGGACATGTGCATACAACCACCATCTTTGGCATTACGGGTTTTCCCTTTATAGTTGTATTGAGGATTTAGGAAGTGGCATGTCTCTTTATAAACTGTCTCTGGCTATTTCAGCTATAAAATTAAAGGTTTACTATGTAAAAAACAGCCTGTTCTCATCATTTAGCGTCACATAGAACGCTATATGACAAACGGCGCTATACTACGCACATGGCACCCTTTATCATTAATGTTCACGCGAACCCAAGGCGTCATAAATCCTTTAGCGTAATATAAGACTACCCTACCCCACACCTAAACCTAACCATCACAGCACGCGTTATATTAACGATAACGGGTGCCATGTGCGTAGTGCCGTTTTGTCATGAAGCGGTCTATATGACGCTAAAGGATGAGAATGCGTTGGTAAAAAAAAATATTATTGTGTACATAAATATATGGTGGAATCCGGTAGATGTTGTCCAGCAGACGATCTGCTTGCAGCCTTTAACCTCGCGCACGAGTTGATCCGTTTCCTCACTAGAGAAGCGTTCAGTTCTTCCACTTGCAAATTCCACCATGTTAAAAGTGAATCCGCCATGACACAAGCACGGTTTTTAAAGGGAATGGGAGGTGAGACTCTGATTGGATAATTGCACGTTACGCCCAAAACACACCCATTACTCATTAAGAGAACAGGGACTGTCGGTACACGAGACCATATGTGCCGACAATTCTTTTCATCGTTAGACTGGCAAAAGCGGAATCGGACACGCCCTAAGTGCACTTGTGCCCTGCACTCATGGTGTGCAAGAGGACCTGGGTTTAAATCCTGATTTTATACATTATATTCATAATTGGAATTATAGCCTATATTTGAGGTCAGTAAGATTTTATTTTTTTAATTAATAGTTTGATTTAGAAAGGATGCATGGAATTTATCAAAAGTGTCAGTAAAGACTTATGGACATGTGTTGAAAATTAGCACATGTGCTATTACACTTTAAACAATGCATCTGGTTCGTCCAACGTTATTGTTATGTCCATATTAAATAAATAAAAACGAAAAAACAAAAAAAAAAAAACAAAAAAAAAAACGAGACTTCTACATTGTTACAAGATATCTTTAAAAAATGCATCCTAGTCTCTACAAAAATATAAAGCAGCACAACTGTTTTCAACATATAATAATCATAAATATTTCTTGAACAGTAAATCAGCATATTAGAAGGATTTCTGAAAATCATGTGACAAACTGAATTCAGTTTAGCCACAACAGGAATTAATTACATTTTAAAATGCATTGCATTAATATTGTAATAATATTTTATAATACATACATGTAATAAAATGTAATAAAATATCTAATTTTTATAAATCATATTTAATTTTAATTAATTTTTAAAACATTTGATCCTACAAATACAGGCTCGATAGGCATAAGATTAAATATTAATATTTCTATTTCTTTATATAACCCACATATTCAATCAATGTTATGAATCAGCATGAACGAATCAATCAAAATCATCTAGTTTTAATAAATTTGAGCAGAATAAACCGGCTGTGTGTAGCACCAGAATGTCTATCAAGTAAATGCAAACATCATCTGAGCTGTACTGATACATTGCTAAAATTCATTCTCAATGTTCTTTTACCAGATGCAACATGTGTGCTAAACAAGATCAGGATTAATATTAAGGTTTTCAGAGAATGAATTAAAGAATCCCTTTCTTATTAAATGTAACTGGCAATGTTGCTTTTATACTTAATGTTAAACTTAAAACTACAATAACAACAGTTGATCAAGGCAGCACTGACACAATGGCATTGACTGTTTATATCTGTCATATAAACAAATGCATGTATTTTTTGTCATGTGAGCATGGAAAATAAACATTTAAACTCCAATTAATGTTTCAATGATCACTTTTTTATATCACCGTTGTATGGTTTTTAAGCCATGCTCTGTGCAAACAAATGTCTAAGAAACTCTGTAAAAACGACCTTGAGGTAACTATAGCAACCCAGAAACCTTCTACCCTCCCCCTTATGAACAACAGAATACAATTTCAAACCTGCATAAAAAAAAGAGAAGGGCACAAATGCTAGCATAGATGGATGGATGGATAGACCATAAAAAATTATATGAGCAATAAGTTATAACATATTTTCACATCAACTCTGTCACAACGTCATTTAAGTTGAAATGACTTAAATAGCCAAGTTGATTTTACTTAAAAATTTACTAAAATAAAAAATTTACAGTGCAGACAGACAGACAGATAGATAGATAGATAGATAGATAGATAGATAGACAGATAGACAGACAGACAGACAGACAGACAGATTTCGTTGCTTGCATTGAGAGGTTGGGAAGTCAGCATACTTTGCACGGCTGTAGTAATAGATTACGTCACTTCAATTCTTTTTCATTCTCCAAAATGTAGGCCCTCTATTCTTGGATGCAGCAGTGGGACTAAAATGAGGTCAAAATAACACACCAGGTAGCTCAACTAACACTATGTCATTCCAGGAAGGAATCAAACAAACACTTTTGTCTTGTGCCAGATATTAGAGAACTCTCAATCCCACATTGTTCTTCTGCACAGTCATCTTTTCATCTGTTAAAATCATGATTTCCACCTTTTAAAAGCAATAGACCAAACTATGCCAGCATTAAAAATAAATAGTTTTAAGGCCTAGGCTTAGGTTTGGCAACCTTAAATTAACTGAAAGAAAAAGGCATGAAGGTTTTAAAAAACACTTTTCTGGATCTTTAATTTTTATGATCATTCTGTAAAGTTATGTTGTTCAAGTTAGGACATAATAATTCCCTATTATCCCAAACCAGTCTATCCCTACCAGGGCTGTAGTGGAGAACAAAGTGCACCTGATGCACTTCTCTTTTTATGCATTCACATCTTGCTCTTTAAGCCAGAGAGGAACGCTCAGTCTCTTATTCACATGATAACCCGAGAGGAGTCGTTCACACTGGATTTTTAAAAAGCTGTCGACTCTGTGGGTAGAGCATTGAATCTCTTTTCCTTCACCTTTTGAACTGCCAAGAAGATAAAGAAGTCTTTGTTCTCTCCTCTTTATTTTCCAGACATGTTGGCAAAGTGTAAAAGAACCCAGTGCAGTTAAACGCCATCTCTATACCTCCCACACGCATCCATCTTGAATACATTTCACAGTCCAAGTTATCCTCCTCTCGATCAGCTAACTAGCCCATTTCCTCTTTGTAAGCAGGAGAATTATAAGAGAGACCATCAAAATGTGTATATATACTGTTTTTATTTTTTGAACATTATCATCATAGTTTTTATTTGATTATCCCTTCATTCTTTTAAAATGATCACCTCTGAATGTACACATACTGCAAACTGTCAAAAATATACAAACGAATGCAGGCTTGTGCTATACTCTGGTCAAATGTCTAAAAAACAGTGGCACTGGGGAAGAGAAAGAAACTAAAAGAGAGAAAAGACATTGAAAGTGTAAAGACATGCACAGTATATGTCTGAGCACCACATTGACTGAGCTGCTCGGTGCATGAGAGGGCTCTCTGTAACAGAAGGTTTCAGAATCGGACAGTAGTCCAAAAGGCTGTCCTTTGTAAAACAAAAGAAAAGAAAAAGAAAACACCAAGAATGGTACTGTTAGGCACATAATCGTTTCCTTTATACATAGTTGTCAAACTCTGTAGAACTGCTAGCAGATTTATAAAAAGGGTCATAAAAGAAACCAAAATGACACTTCGATGGAAAGAAAAGAAATCATTCTTCTGCTGTTGAGAGTTGTAAAGATGTTCAACCATGAGAAAACACCAGTTTTCAAATCAATAATTTAGTATCCAGGGTCTGCGCAGTCCTTGGATGAAGGCTCGTGTGGACAGTGGGCTCTGGGTGTGGTGTCCTTCCAAGTCGACCCATCAGATGCTGAGGTCTTTGGAGCTCTCTTTGTAGGGCTTCCTCCTCGGCTCAGGTGCGTTGTTGTTAGCTCTACTGTAATCGGATCTGAGCGTGCTATAATAGCCACTCAGCTGAGAGCCGTCCTCTTCTTCCTCCTCCTCCTCCTCCTCGTCGCGGTACCCTCCGATGGGAGACAGGTCTCGACTTAGACTCCTCGTCCGGTACGAGTATGAAACCGGTGACTCGACTCTACGATATCCGTCCTCTCTGCCCCCACTTCTCACAGGGGAACGGCCCCTCAATAAAGAGTTGTAGTTCTGGAAAGCTGAAACCGAGTTGGGCGTCCGAACGCGGGGAAAGGTGCTGTCACGAGAAGCCCCACGGAGAAGGGTCGAATCGCGATAGGATTCAAGGTAGCTGGGTGGCTCTCTCTGTAGGCTGTTACCCAGACTCAGCCGGTCCAGGGATGTCGCCAAAAGTGGAATGCTCTCGGAGCGGGATGGAGGCTTCGGAGGAGGAGGCTCCTTTAAGGTCACATCCAGCACCTCGTCGAACTCATCATTGTAGGGTTTGTCTGAAGAAGCCGTAGGGCGTCTTGAGGGAGACTGGTATCTGGAGCGTTGAGGGGAGCGGTAGGGAGATCTACGACGGTAAGGAGAACTGCGGCGATGACCAGATCGGTGAGGTGAACGCTGAGGTGAACTGTGTCTGCGAGGGGACGAGTCGCGATGATGCCGTCTATCTGGCGAGCGGCCTTGTCGCTGGTTGTATCGACTGTCCAAGGTGTTTTCGGCACTCCGAGCTCTG